ACTCAGAGTTTATACACTGGAAGAAGAAAGATAAACTCTGAATTAGATTTCCAGGGAGTCAATTATGTAACTTTATGAAATTTTTCACTTTTCATTTTTCACTTTTTACTTTTCATTTTTCATATTCATTTTTCATTTTTCACTTGGGGTTGATCATGTAACTTTTCCCCTAGGGCGGAAACGTGAAAAGTGAAAAGTTTCACGTGAACTTACGATCAGGTACGATTTTGCGGGATCATGTAACTCCCTCAAACATGAAAATGTGAAATTTTTCACGTGAACTTTTCGCCATGTACCTTGATTGCGGAAAGGCGGAAATCTAGGGAATTAATAAATATGCTTCGGAATTAGAGAAGATTAGGGCTGCGTTAGGATTAAGTGTACGTAGTACATATACAATTGGTTATTAAAAGATGTATATAATACTGTACTAATAAAATAATTTTCATTAGCTATAAAACCTATGAAACTATGTTTCATGATTTCACTTTTACTCATCCAAGCTACATACATAATCTGTACGTGAAAAGTTGCGTGATCCTGCATACAGAAGCAGCAACGCGCGATAACCAATCATTCTTTCGCTCTTATAGAAAATCGGCAATTGATTGGCTATTGCATTGCCGCGTCCCATGTGTAAGAATCATAAGAATCGACTATGAATATCGGCCTATTTATCGGGTATCCCGCGCATTCCTTGCTATAGATTCGTGTTTCCACCACTATAGGTCGTTGCTAACGCTGGATTCGTTTGTGACGGTGAGTTGAACACGGAGTTGAGTGAGAGAAAGAGAGAGAAAGAGAGAAAAGAGAGGCGATACGAGACGATCTTGGTAGCGACAGTATATACATGCTCAGAATGTTGTACATCGACGGTACATATTTTCGTTTACGAGTCTTGTAACGTTTACAAACGTAATGGGCTTCTCTCGGCACGTTTGAGACTTGCCGAATGAGGATCGCTGAGAACAGGGCGAACGCAACTAGGCTCATCAGGATCACAGAGTTGATTTCGTTTAGTGCCAAACGTGACGAACGCCGAGGCGATACGATTTCCGTAGGCAGCACGAGAGAGAAATCCCAATCGACGAAAAGGAGGCTTTCTGCCGATTAGCGACGTGCTGTGATACGTGTACCATCAGGACGTCAGACACTGGAAAACTAATTCACGAGTTCTCCAAGAGCCTACTTTCTCGCACGCAGCCGTCTCGGCGATATTCACGTTCACATTTCAGCGAGAAGTCCTCGATCCCTATTATGTCGGTAAATTGGAGAACTACAAAGCGGCATTTATTTGGGAATAACTATTGAGTACTATCTTTAAACCATGAGTTTCTCTTTAGAATCGCCGGATACTATTTTAAAGGCATACGGTGAGTTAACTGTTGTTATCGTATGATAAATCAAGATCAAGACAGACGACACGAACAAATGTATGGACGTAGCGGCTTTTCGCAACTGCAAACGATAGGATACTTGCTTATTTATGATAATGTATGATCGACTTGGATGATTAGCAAGATTTTAGAATTTTTTATCATTTGCGCACGATTCACATGTATTATTATCTTTGAATTTTCAATTTACAAGTGATATCTTTAGCAGAGAAAATAGGAGATTGAAAAGAAAGCATGACTTTAAGTATATACATACAATAGACTTTTGTTATATTTGTAATTTAAATTACAAGCAAATTGTCTGCAAATTTGGAAATATATGCATTTATTTAGTTAGTTTCTGTTTTTAACTATATTTGTTTTCTTATAATGTCTGAAACTTCTTTTACATAAGTATAGTTATGCAAAACTTTATTTAAATCATTAATATATTAACAATTTTCTGATATTTTGCTTTATATATATAAAAATAATTTGCTTCGTTATTTTTTGTTTTTCTTCAAATCTTTAAATTATTATAAAGCTATGCTTTAATTATCTGTATCTCTTATTTTTTAGAATTGAATTTTTTATTGCAATTGTGTTGTTGATAATGTATATAAGAAATATAATAATATAATAGAGCAATAGTAGACATTTATTGAGATTACTAGATGTTATATATATTTTACAGGATCTATGTCAGATTGTTTCATATAGAAATATATTTCATTTGAATAAAGATTCATTTGAATAATAGCCTTTTTTTTACAACAACTTATATGTTAATTATTTCAGACTAAGATTATATATGGAATTAAAATGGCACGCAGACGTAAAACCGAGGTAAAAACATCTGAGAAATCGTCTCATAAATATGTACCTGTACGCAAGTCTAGCAGACAGATAGCTAAGAAAAAATTAGAAGAAAAGAAAATAAATGGTTATATTACATCTTGCTCAAACAGTTCAGAAGACTCCAAATCTAGTGAAGGTCATAGCCAAGTTCTTTCAAAGAAGAATCAAAATTCTCAAAAAAAACATAATAAACATAAAGGTACTATTTCCAGTAATAGCATACTTGTAAATAATGAGAATGTTATATACAATGCTACTCAACATAAGCGGGATATAGGTGAAAATGATAGCCAGGATGGTATAGATAATATGATTAAAAATTCAGAAAAACTTAGTCCAGAGGATGTACAGCAAGTTGTTGTCGGTAATCCAAGTTCAAGTAGTGAATCGTTATCTGTGTCAGCATCTACATCAACATCTGCATCTTCATCTACACCAGCATCAACCAAGACAGAAACATGGTCAGAAGATGTTATAGAGGAAATGATAATCTGTGAAGAGATGCAAGTAGAAGAAGATGTTAGAGACAATAGTTATTCTTTGGCACAGGATGATGTTATAGTTGAAGAAGTACTACTTATAAACGAACCTAATCTAGAAAACAAGAATTTTGTAGAATTTACTGTGATACAGAATGAGGATGATACCGAATCTACGACGATGGCATCTAAGCCAAACAGAATTTCGAACAATGAACATCACATTAAAGAAGTTCATAAAGATATGAATAATGTACATATGAATGAATCAGAAAATTCCATATCAACTATGTGTATAGATGAATCAGTAACTTCTTGTAGTAGTGGGAATAATAATACTGCAGATTCTAATATAGATAAATCTTATATGAACAAGAAGAAAATTATATTAGAAGATCGGAGTAAAAAACAGAAAAACAAAACAATTTATGACAAAATTAGAAAAGAAATTTCGGAATCAATATCTGAGAAAGTTCGTTTATGTTCTATCAAAGATGATTCTGGTTCTTCTGAGGAAGATAATTTCAAGCGGGAAAACAAAGACTTACAGGCAAAAAATATGCATGTAGATTTGTTAAAAGAAGATACATTTCATAAAATAGACAATGAACTGGCAAGTATGCAAATAAGTGAATCTTCAAAAGAGATACAAAAGTTGGTAAATGATCTTTCTAGTGTGGAAAGTACTGATTCTTCGATACATACTCCTTTAAAGATAGAAAAGCTATCTCCAGTCCAGTTAAATATCGATGATGAAAGTAGTTCGTCGATATTGGATAAAATGGAGCAATTGCATCGATCGAATAATTCTGTTAGTTCTCACACTACAGAAATATTTTCGAAAACTATGGAACCCAATAATATTATTAAAAATCAAGAACAAAATATCTTGGAATCCAATTCTTGTATCGATAAACTTCAAAATATAGATGGAACTTCATTGAAATCCAAAATCACACAGGAAAAGAAAAGTACAAGTCAACAAAAAGATTTAGAACATTTAACGACTATCGATGAAAATCAAGATAGCGAAGGAGATAATAAAATTGATAATGAAGATATCAAATTATGTAGCAGCAGTGAGAACAGTAATGATACATTAGTATCACTTACTAATTACAAAGGACGAGAACTTGATATAAAAAATACAGTTAATACAAATGACATTGATAAAAAAATTGAATTCAGAAGTCATAGTGGAAGCATTGATACAAGTTCTGAAAATAGTTCAAACAGTTCAGGTGTAAGACGAAGTAGTAGAATTCGATCTATTGGATTGATGAAACAAAGGTATGAAATAGAATAATATAATTTTAAAATGTAAAAAATTTATATAAGTTATTTGAATTATTTTATTAGTTATTAGTATATCGTTATTAATATAATAACGATTTATATTTATTTTTATTATAATTAATTTCTAATAAACAAAATATATTTATAAATTTAAAAATATATCTATAAAGATTTTAAAATATAATTGATTTCTTATATATGGCTGAACAATTTTCTTTATATTGCATTACAAATGTTAATATGAAAAAAATTAATTTAATTTTAGATCTCGTGGACGTGGCTTAGTTACAAAATCTAATGCTGATATTTCAAAAGTTACTCTTCAGCAAGAAAAAGAAAAAATCGTTAATAACACAAACTTTTCGATCACTCAGGAAGTAAAAATAGATAATTCTGAGACTCAATGTGATAAGGAAAATAATTCTAATAAAATTTCAACATCACTTGATATTTTAACACCTTTAAGTATCAGTTATAATACGACAGGATATGATTCTGATTCTTCAAAACCAGTTAAAGTAAAATCCCGTTGGCGAAGATCAAGTGAACTTGAAATGGGATCGAATGCTGGGTTTGGATCTGTTGTTACTCCTATATCAATGCTTGGATCATCTATTGCATCTCCACTCGAATTAGGACGTTATGCACCAGTAAATATAGGAGAATCTATATCATCAGAATTCAAATATAATATTACTAGTACAAATATAAAAGTTTGTACAGAAACAGTACAAACGACAGATATATCAACAATATCTAGTGTTTCTACTGTTTCGACAATAGCACAAATTCCAAAAACTATAGGAGCAAAAATTTCGTTACCGATGGTTCTCGAGACAGAAGATAGAGAGATGGAGGAAAGACTCAGTCAGTTTGAACACTTGCATGAAAATTTATATCTTACTGAAAGGTAAGTTAAATTAAGAATTAAAACATGATGAATTCTTTTTTAATTTATATAATTAATTTATATAGTTATTTTATGTATCTAAAATATTGAAGATTTATATATATTTGTCATTAGATATACAAACAAAGAAACTAAAAGAATGGTATGTGATTGTTTTTTAACTGAAGAAGAAATTGAGAGAGGAGAACTTGGTTGTGGGGAAGATTGCCTTAATAGACTCCTCATGATAGAATGGCAAGTGTTTATTTTTAGTAAGATTTTAATTTCATAAGATTTTATGTTTACATGATTTTAACAAGCTAAAATAATGTTTTCTTTTAAAATGTATTATATGTAAATACAGAATATATTATGTATAAATTGTAAGCAGTCATTTGTAAAGCAGAATAAAAATAAATTAAACAAATAGAGATAATAATGCTTTTTCATACATATTATAGTGGACCTAGATGCGTAGTAGGTGATAGATGTACAAATAGAAGATTTCAGAATTGTGAATATGCCAAATGCGAAGTTTTTAGAACAGAGAAGAAAGGTTTCGGATTACGTGCTGTTGTTGACATAATGGCGTAAGTGAAATCCTATACAAATATGTGCAAGTATGTGTATATATAAATATATAAAATATTCATATGTATATACATATAATTGCTCAAATGAAATGTAAGAAAACGAATAAAGAAAAATTCTTATTTTTATATCGTTTTTACAATTTCAGGGGCGAGTTTATAATGGAATATGTAGGAGAAGTCGTAGATCCAAAGGATTTTAGACGTCGTGCGAAAGAATATTCCAAAGATAAAAACAGACATTATTATTTTATGGCACTGAAATCTGATCAGATTATAGATGCTACTATGAAAGGAAATATATCCCGATTTATTAATCACAGCTGTGATCCGAATGCAGAAACGCAGAAAGTAAGTTTGTGTTTCTACAAATTAATTTTTTTAAGATGCCTTAATATAAAAACTTAATATAAAAAACTTAATATAAAACTTAATATAAAAAAATACAAATTTTAATAATGCCATATTTTTTAGTGGACAGTAAATGGAGAATTACGAATAGGCTTTTTTAATAAAAAATTTATAGCTGCTGGCGAAGAAATTACATTTGATTATCATTTTCAACGTTATGGGTATGCTATTTAATAATATTTTTATATTGCAAATAATTGCTATTTATATAGTTTATATGTAATCTTTTATTCTAATTGATATATTGAATTATCTTGAAAATAAAACTTTTTTTTTTATTTTTGAAACAAAATTTGGAGGATTCCTTGAAATAGTAACAACATGGTATAATAATGCATCTTCTATTCTAAAAAAAATTACTTCCTTTAAGGAATGGTGATGATTTTTATTTTTTATTTTTTAACTAGTAATTCCTATTTTTTATTTTATATTAAAAAAAAAATGTTTTTAAAAATTACTCAAAAATTAATTTTTAATTAAAGAATGAGAGATTTCATAACAAAAGTAGTTAAAGAAGTATTTTTCTTACAAAAGGTATGAAAATTTACTATTTCTCTAAAAAATGTTTTGTTTTTAAGATAACTAAAATAAAAAACTCGGATAGAAACTCTAATCTGTTTTCATTAATACAATTTATTATATATTTGAATAATAGCAAAGAAGCTCAAAAGTGTTATTGCGAGGCATTGAATTGTCGAGGTTGGATAGGTGAAACACCAGAAGAAGAAAAGGAGAAGATTGAAAAGAAAGAAAAACGTGAAAGAGATACGAAGAAAAAGAAGGAAGAAAAGAAACCTGCTGATTATATGGAAGATGAAGATGTAAGATAATTATGCAATTAGTAATATTATTAATTAGTAATATATATTAATATAGCTATTGTTAAGTAATAACTTTATATCATTGTTTTTTATTTTAGTTGGAGGAAGAAATAGATAAGTTGTGCTCGGGTGGTTTGAAAAATCGTGCGCACACTTTAACGTTAAGCAGGTTAATGGTTCGTAGTAGAGAATTGGAACACAGAACGCGTTTGTTACGTCTCATACAAAGTGGCGAACAACCATGTCGAAGATTATTTTTGGATTATCATGGATTACGTTTGATTTGGAGTTATGTTATGGATATTGCCACAAATGAATCAGAAGAAGCTCAACAATTTCGCTTAGAAGTGTTGAAAACTCTAAATACACTGCCAATACCAAACAAGACAATGTTAATGGATAGTAAAATATATAGCGTGGTCGAAAGATGGGCGAAAAGAATATATCTCTCTCCAAATGCTGATTCTCCAGAAGATGATCAGATTAAATCAAAGAACTGTGAAGAAATGAGTAGTAATTCTGACAGCAATGAAAAGAAAAGTCCTAATGAACGTCTGAATGACATTCCAGATAAACGTAATAATAATATTGAAAATTGTTTGGCAGTTAACGAAGTTAAATCAGAGACTACAGATCAGAATCTTATCCCTGACTTAGCCTCCAGTCTTCTTGCTGAATGGTCAAATCTAAAAGAAGTTTTCAGAATACCTAAAAAAGAAAGAATTGAACAAATGAAAGAGCATGAAAGAGAAGCAGGTTATTTTTAGAATATATTAGTAGCATGTAAAGTAGCAAAAATGATATTTATTAACGTTTATATAACATTATTCTGACTTTTGTTGTAGATCGAGGATATAGAGAGGAATTAGAGAAAGAAGAAAAGAGAGGCACATCGTATGATAGGTATGTTTTATGTGTTTAACATACCATTATATATGTAACAATGTTTTGCAGTATTTAATGTAAAATTAAGTATCGCAATTTCTTGTTAATTTTACAAATTGTTTTAGACATAGATCTGATAGATACAATCGAAGTGAAGCAGATAAACGTGGCGATAGAAGACGAGGACGAGAATCTCCAGAAATTGATCATAGTAGAACAAAAGATAAAAGATTAGAAGAACGAAGTCTAGTTCCTATACCACGAATGACAAAATACGAACGTAGGCAATTATTTGCACTGAAAGTTGCAAAAGAAGAAGAAGAAAGACAACGTCGTCAACAACAAGAATCATGGCAAGAACATGAGAATAGATGTTTGGCTTTGGGTATAGATCCTCATACTACTGCCATGGTTGATCCACAAACTGGTTATCCCGTTTTTATAATCCAACTTTAGGCCAATGGCAGCATTATTCTACTCAAGGTTATACTTATCGATGTATTCTGCATATAGAAACTTTTATATTTAAGCACATTTATATTTTACGAATTAAAACATTGTAAAAGCGTCGATGAATTACATTTAAATATCTGTTACACAGAAAATGATATTTTTTTTTACAGATGGAGGAGAAGCAACGCAACAATGCACTTCTGTATATGTAGGAAGTGCTCAGTCTACTGGTATGATGGGACAGAGTCCTCATGTATTGCAATCAACAATGACAACCGATATGTCATCCGGAATTACAACTGGTATTACACCTGGTGTACCACCCGTAGCTTATTCATTAAGTCAAACATCTGTGTTCAATCAAACAACATCTTCCTACTCTTTGATATCACATCCACAATCATATAACGAAGGGCAACTATCTCTTCCAAATAGTTTAATATCTGGTCATGGTGGTACCTCCTCTATGTCAATTCAAGCGCCTCATTATAACCACATCGAAAATCCCACAGATCAATTCTCTAATCTTACGTCCGCGGAAAGTGTTACGAGTCGACCACAACCTGAAATTCCGGCAATAGATTTGCCACCGAAATGGAAAAGCGCAACAGATGGCAGAGGTAGAACATATTATTATCACGTGAAGGAAAGAATATCGCAATGGTTACCTCCGCCGCCTGATCATATCGGAGTACAGCCAGATTCGTCATCTACATCAGAATCTAGCGAAGAATCCAGTTCATCGAACGAAGATGATGAAGATATTGATGATGACCATAATGAGGATCAAAGAAACGATGATATGGAGACAAGTAGTGTTCCAGAAAGCCCTTCGAGCACATCCAAGCCAAATGTATCTAAAAAATTAGGCAGTCATAATTTGACTGGAAGTTCACTGCCGTTTCCTGAATCTAAGAAGAGAAGAGATGGATTGGTTCAAGAAAGAATTATTAGCGTAAGTTTAATTTATTTTTACATTTATAATATTTATTTATTATAATTTTTACTTTTTATTAACATTAAAATATAGTCTTAAAACATGAAACGCTTAATCTTTAAAAAAATTTGCTCGATTTTTTATCTTGATGATATTATAATATATTAATCTTATTACTACTAATCTTATTACTACTAATATGAGTAAAGTTTTTATAGTTATAGTTTACACAGTTTTAATTGATGCTGTTATTGTTATTTATATTATAGCCACGTAGAGAAGAAGATCGTATTGATCATAAAGCGTATAAAGAAATAAAAGAGAAATTACGACGACAGAAAGAAAGAACGAAACTAAAGGATCATGTTGAAAAATTAAGGAAACATAGACGAAGTAATAAATCCAAGTCTCATTCGCGACATGGATTAAACAAATTGCAATCAACATCAGCTGAGATGTCTCCTATGTCTGAAAGAAAGATCAAGGATACATTTAGAATAAATATGGCTAATGTAATGGTTCATTTCTTAAATCCATATAGGAAAAATGACTGCAAACAAGGTAGAATAACTAATACTGAAGATTTCAAACATCTAGCTAGAAAGGTATGAATAACCCATAATAAAAATAAATTTAGCGCACGATGAATTTAGTGCTCTTTATAATTATATATTTCTTTTACAGTTAACACATTTTGTACTTGCAAAAGAATTAAAACATTGTAAAAGCGTCGATGAATTACAATGTAATGAAAATGTTAAACATAAAGCAAGAGATTTTGTACGTAAGTACATGAGCAAGTTCGGGGCAGTGTATCAGAAAGGTACAGATGAAGATTAGCTGTGTAATTTATAAGATGGAAAAAATTGTTATTTATTGCGCGAGCACTTTATTTCGGCTACCGCGAAATATATATTTAGATAAATATGTTTTAAGCTCGTATGTGTAGATATACATTTGTAATTGTATCATTGTAAGATAGACAAGTTTGTATATGCGTGAATGAATGTTTTTTCATGATTTAGCAGTTAATAAATTTTAGCAAATTTTTAATTTCTCATACATTTATGTATAAATTGACACACGTTCATTTATACATGCTAACTCTATGCATGTTGTATCTTTTATAAATATTGTAACTTATATGCCAATATACACACAACAGTGTAAAATACTCTAATAGTTGTATAAGATTTGACCTACCTTTTCAATATCAGTGTCTTAAAGTTAATATTCGATAAATATTTATTTATGTAACGTTATGAAAGAATTTTTGTAAATAATAGATTATATACATTTTTAACTGCTTCACTGGGTTGCTATTGTATGTGCTTGCTGACGATCATGATCATCTAATATTTATAAAAACTTGGACAAAAGATGAAAACATAAATCTTGCATTTATAAATTTAATTTTGTATTGCTAACATTTTGTCTTTACACATTACAAAAATCAATTCTGTGATGCGTGATTTTCGAAACAAAAGCAATGTAAGATATTCAATAAAAAGAATTCTACATTTATTAATCATACTTTCATCATTTTATTAAATAGTAATTTCTAGTGTTTGTAATTAATTTTGTACAGGTAATATTAAATGTATTATGTTACATTTAAATTGTTAAATGTTTAAGTTTATATAATTTAAGAATATAAATAGTAAATCCCTTTAAAGAAAGAAGAATAATTTCCAATTATAAAATATAAATTTGCACCCAGTTATTAAAGCAATTAAAATATATTATTTTCATTTTATTTTTATCAACATATTATATTATGTGATATTTATAATTTATATTGTTTAAATGGGATGTTTAAACAATCAGTAATTACAAATGTTGTTAATTGATTTATTTTGCATTAATATATTTTTCTAGTCTATTTTTCAAGCTATAATATTAAATATAACAAAAATATTTTGATGAAAATATTTTTTTCAATCGTATTTCTTAAAAAAAATTTGTAATTTTTTAAAAGACTTGACTATTTTTATATATATATAT